CTTCATCGATAAGGAAATCATTGGAAAATGTGTGTCGATCACGACTAATAGAAGAGGATGTATATATCACAACTGAAGAAAAATCATGCATAGGTTTTTTTTTCAAAAAAAATTCAAAGCTGTGATTTTTTATTCACCCTCCAAGCTGGGTGAATAGAAACAGTGATTGTTTTAGCACGTATTTTGCGAGTAAACCAAGCGGAAGGCGAATAGAAACAATTTTTGGAAAAAATAGGTGTGATGATTCCGAAATTGATCAGAAAACAAAAAAAAACGTATAATAAAAAACGTTTATTACGAAAATAGGGGGAAGTGGGTAGGAACGGGTCAATTTTTACTGATGAGCTGTTGGTTCCTTCATGACTCGCTTCATGATCAACTTTAATCTGGTTTCAGCTCATACATGTTACTTTATGATTGTGCTACTCATATTTATTAGCTTATTGGCATATCACCAATGTATTAATGATCACAGAAATAAATAATGCAGAATGTCAATTCGGCCCATTCTTCCTGCATACAGGAGGAATGGGTAATCACTGTTCTTGCTTACAGGAGGAATGGGTCAGTGTCAAGAATACTGATATCAACTGAAGTTGGCTGAGAAAAATATATTCTGCTGTGGAAAATTCTTTATTCAAAATAAAACAAAACATATTTTTCAGAAAATGAAATAAAAATAGCTCAATGTAGTCGTATGTTGGAACAACAAATTCAACGCAGCTTCTCGAAGTTGTTCAAGTTAACATCAAAATACAGGACAGAGAAAAGTCTGCTACTTCTACCAGATTTGTTAGGTGAAGGAAGTTTCAGAACAACGTCTTGTTTTTGTACCGACGTTATTTCAGACACAGGAGGAAATACGAAACCATTTCATTTTTTTCTGAGGAAATTAATCTCGTATTCATCGTGAAGTTCTTTCTCTACTGTACCTACATAATGAACAATTGTAGATTTGGTACAAAATTTTATCAAAAGGTAGTCTACTATTTCTACATTCTCAGCTGAGTAATCAAAATCTTTTTCTGGTGGTTTAGGATTGAAATTACTTTCACTAGAATCATCATCTGCTTCGAATGATTCTGATTCACTTGTGCTTTCAACTTTTTCATCATTACGTTTACTGGTCTGATTCTTTCTCTGTAGTTCTTCTGCTTCTTCTTTTTCAGGAGTATCGGACAAAATTACAGATTGTGTATGAAGATTGTCAAATGGGCGGTCGGTAACAGCAGACATTAAAAAATCATCTTCTGTGAAAATTTCCCTATTGAGAGGCCATATTCCAGTTCGTTCGAAACCCTTTGTTATATTGGTTTTGCTCAAAGCTTGTATGAAAGCTTTTTGAGATAATTCGCCAATATTATAAATGGTAATACAATTCCCTGGATTCGTTGCCATAAAATCATCACTGGCTTGGTTGAATCGGATCTTCAGTGGTCCATTAAGCAGTAGTAGGCGGTCTCGTTCATTCGCCTCATATATCGTTATTGTTGCCTTGTCTGTCTGCTCTCTGGGTTTCTCTCTCATCTATCTCCTTCCTCGTCATGATTTCTCTAGCCATTCCTCTCACTGCCTCCCAGTTTTGTTTGTTCTTCATCATCAGCCTCATCAACGTATTCTCCTCTAGTACTTCTCCTATCAATGCTGATGTTCTCTGCCGTATCCTCTCCCATCTTCCACACTCGAAAAAAGTGTGCGCCGGGTTATCTTCTACTCCACCGATGCATTACATGCAGTCGTCTGTGTCTGCCTTCCCTATTCTTTTGACGTATGTTCCGAAACACCCGTGTCCAGTCAGGATCTGGGTCGTGTGATAGTCCAGCGGTCGGTGTCTGCATCTATAGTACTCCACTATGTTCGGGATCAGTTTTTTGGTCCATTGTGCGGTCTCTGTATGGTTCATCCATTCTTGCTGCCATGCTACCAGGGTCGATTCTCTTTCCTCCGCCCTAGCTAACCTCCCGTCCTCTCGTTCATGTGTCCTTGTCCGTTCTAGTGCAAGCAAGTGTATTGGCACCGTGCCTGTGATCACCTGCACCGCCTTCAGGGATGAAGTCCTATACGCACTGGCCACTCTCAGTAACGCTCTCCTCTGGACTCTCTCCATCATCTGACGGTACTTCCGCACATTTAGTGCTGGAGCCCACACTGGTGCTCCATAGAGCAGTATAGAGTGGACCACTCCACTGAGAAGTGCCCTTTTTCCGCTGCTGGGTCCCCCTATGTTTCGCATGATTCTCGCGAGTGACGCCGCTCTTCCTTCCGCCTTCTTCGTGGCGTACTCTACATGTTTACCAAAGGAGCCGACGTCATCCAGGATCACCCCCAGGTATTTCACGCTTCTTTGTGGCTCTATCTCAACTCCCTTCATCAGGAACCGCGGTTCTTCTCTCGCAGATTTTTCCCGAGGTCCTCTCAGCATCACAGCTTCGGTCTTCTCTGGTGCAATCTCCAGCTGGTTGCTTTCCATCCATCGAGATATGCGCCTTAGCGATTCGTTGGCCCTGAACTCAAGCTCTCCCTTGTCTTTTCCTCTTACCATTATGGCCAGATCGTCTGCGAACCCTATGGATATCGAGCCCTCGACCAACTGCTCCCTGAGTGCTCCATCGTAAAAAATATTCCACAATAATGGCCCAAGCACAGATCCCTGCGGCACTCCTGCAGTTACCGTATGCTCTTCTCTATCCACTGCTAATTTTCTGCTGTTGAGGTATTCGCCTACTATATTGCAGAGATACGCCGGCATCTGTCGATTCTTCATCTCCCTCATTATTCTGCTCCACACTACCGTATTGAAGGCGTTTCTCACGTCGAGGGTGACTAGCGCCAGCCATCTGTCTCTGCTGTCTCTCGCCTCCCTCTTAACTGCTTCCACTGCCTGGTCTGTGGACCGCCCTTTCCTGAATCCATACTGGTTTTCTGAAAGACCAACTCCTCTGTCCAACTCCCTCTCCATTCTATTTTTGAGAAGACATTCGTAGGTCTTGCTTATGGCATCCAGCAAACATAAGGGCCGAAAGGACGATGGCGCGAGAGCCTCCCTCTTCTTTCCTGGTTTTGGGATCAGGACTAGTCTGGCCGTCTTCCATCTCTGTGGAAACTTCTGATCCTTCAACAGTTCGTTGAACATGCGGAGGAGCAGCCCGGGGCAGATCTTCGCCGACTCTTTGATAACCTCCACGGGGACCCTGTCGGGTCCTGGAGCTTTACTGCTTTTCGCGCAGCTGACTGCAGCCTCTAATTCCTCGAGTGTGAACGGAGGTATCTGTCCAGGAGGGTCCGGCTCGAGACGGGAATCCTCTCTGCGTGGGAACAATTCCTCTGCTATTAGCTTCTTCTGTGCAGTAGAAAGTTCCACTGGTGTTAGCTTCGTCAGCTTGCCAGTAGCAATCTTATACCCGTTACCCCAAATATCCTCTTCCAGTTCCAGGCATATGTCTGCCCAGTGCTTCTTCTTAGCCGCTTTGATCAGCAGTTTCAGTTCCCTTCTCAGGTTCCTATAAGCATTCATGGCTTGTTCTTGTTGCTCCGGTAGGTTCCTTGTTCTCAACCTTTGTGTTAGTCTCCTCATACGCAGGCACTCCATCCTCTTATTTTTGATCTCTTCGTCCCACCAGTACGGGAATTTCCTGGGTGACTCTGCGGTCCTTGCAGTGCAGCCTGTGTACGCCTCCTTGACCAACCGGATTCCTGCATCGAAAGTTGTCACTGCCGGCGCCCTCCATTCCATCCACCTTCCTTGCATTACGCGAACCTTTTCCTCTATCTCGAAATAAATATATTGATGATCGCTCAGATTCTCCTTATCTTCCAGTCTCCAGTTCTGCACTTTCCTGCCTAATCGCCTCGTGGATATCGTCACGTCGATGAACGAACGTTGCTGTCCTCTCACAAACGTCGGCTTACCACCTGTGTTATGCACTATCAGGTCTGCTGCCGCCAATCCGTCTGCCAGATAGTCACCCCTTCTATCTGCAGTGGGTGAACCCCACTGCGGTGATTCGGCATTCATATCTCCCAGTATCAAACACTCCTTCTCTGTGTTGTTGCAGAAGTCGAGCATAGCATCTACCTTCCCTTCATAATCCTCAATGCAGATATTTGGTGATATGTATCCACACACCAGGTAGAAGCTTTCCATTTCTACCCCCACGAATCCCTGTCTGGCACTAATCCCCTCGACCGTTATACTCCTATTTCTGAAATAGACAGCTGCATCTATCCTTTTGTCCGTGATCCATCTGCCTGATCCCGTCACTATTTTCTTGTTCGGCTCCGTGATCACCAGTATATCTATCCCTTGCTCTGCGGCCGCTGCGTGCACCATGTCATGTGCATAACGCGATCGCATCAGGTTTGCCTGCAATATTTTTATGCTTTTATTGCGCATGGTCTAAGTGGCGCCTTCTTAGATCATCCAATATGCCACGATAGTACGGGCACTTCGTTTGGTCCGACCTATGACCTTTCTTCCTACACTTCATACAGAAGGCCTCTCCTTTACACTCCCTAGCCCTGTGTCCAATATCTCCGCATTGCAGGCAGGTTTCCTTTCTGTCCTCCCCTCTGCACTCCTGGGACCGGTGCCCGAATTCAAGGCATCTGTAGCACCTGATAGGAGATACCCTTTCCTTCACTCTGCAGCTTATCCACCCAATTTTCAGGCTGCTCTTATTAATAACAATCCCTGCCGTTGCCCTCGGCATCTCTATGGTAGCAGATTGGTTGCCGTACCGCCCCATTCTCACTGACTTCACCTGAATATTGCCTGGCTCCTCACCTGTCTCTCTTGTGATGGCTTCCACGATCTCCTCTTCTGCTGTGGCTGCATCGATGCCCGTCACAAAAATCGTTGTGCCCCCTGCCAGTGCCCTCACAGCAGGTATCTGGATCTTTTCTTCTATCTCTTTTCTGAGTGTCTCCCCCATGCCCTTACCCCCATCCACCGTTAGAACCAGGTCCCCCTTCTGTGTTTTTCCTATCCTTGTGATACTCACTCCGATCTGCTCTACATTGATTCCGTCTTTGACTGTGCGCAACAGTTCCGCGAACGTCTTGCCCTCTGCCTTCACCGTCACCGTCTCCTCTGACACCCGGTTCCTCTGTCTACCAATACCTTCATGGTTGAGGATGATTACCTTTGTCTCCGTCCCTCGAAAGACACATTCCAGAACCTTCCTAGTATTCACTCTGTCGAGTCCATTCAGAGGTGCTATGAGAATCTCTGGTCTCTTCTCAGCCTCCACAATTTCCTTGAGGCCTATAAACATTCTGTAGAGCTTCTCTGATTGGTCTGTTTTTCCTGTCGCTTGAGCGTATGGTAACAAATAAGCATACCTCGTCTTCTCCCTGTCTTCACCCCTGCTGGTAAACGTTTTCGTTGCCCTCATCAGATATTCGATGTTGCCATCGTTGAGTGTCCCTAACATCTCCTGGGCCTCGGGATACTTCTCTTTCATGATTTTCATGGTCCCCGTCTCCCCCCTATCACTTGGATCTATGATCAGTGCTATGTCCCTTTCTGCTATGAATACCCCTGGATTATCACGCTCCACTTTTGTCGCCGTGAATATATCCTCGGGCCACCTCCTGTGCAAGAGTTTGGAAATGGCCTCAAATCCCTTGACTTCCTCCAATTCCTCTGGCATCAGTACAGCAGCAGCTTCAGCCTCCTTCGCACCACACTTGCTGCATACGTATTCTGCGATTCGTTTTTCTGGCTCTGTTTCCACTGCCTCATCCAACACGGCCTCCATGCGAACCTCTTGGCGAGCTTGGATATGCTGAGCTTCCCACTCCTCGCACCTTCTGGCCAAGTTCCTTACTATGTATCCCAAGTCTTCGATAGTTTTCTTGATTCCCTTCTGCGTATTTGGATTATTTCTCACAAGTGTTTTAAGCTGCTCACTATTCTTTTTCAGCTCATCTACGAACTGCTTGAAGTCTTCACCATCCACTTCTAGTTTTCCTGGCTTCTGCCTGAAGGGTGGTGTTCCTGCCATCCTTTTCCGTTTGTTCCTACGTACAATAAAATCATCCGTCTCATCCTTCTTCGTACTTTCTGTGTCATCTAGCTTGTCAGTCTCTTTTGCCGTTTTGTCATTCTCGCTCCCACTCAGCTCCAGTGCGCTGCTGCCAAAAGTCTCCTCGATCCAGAACTGTTCCTTGTTCTCATCTTTCCCATCTGGGGTCTCAAACACCCCTCCTGAGCTCACACTGCTTTCACTGCCTACGCGAGGCACTGGTGAACGTGCCACTCGTGATCCTCTTCTTCCAAAAATCGCCGCTCTCTCCTGCTCTTCCTTGTCATTCCTCCCTTCCTCAGTTTCAGTTTTGTTTAGGTCCATTCAATTCCCACGATCAGCTAGGGAATCGTTGGTCCACTCCTGCAGAGCCCCGCTTGCAGGAGTAAGGCATCTTCCCCCGCCGGGTTGCCTGGTCCGGCGGGCATCGCTCGCGACACACTATCTCATCCCTGTGCCATGCACCCCGTCGGCACGATGGAGTTACACCTTAGGGTTGGGAGACGCGGTAGCCAAAGAGTTGGCCAAGCAGAGAAAGGCACAGCCGCCTCCCCTGTGCCCGTGAGAGTGAAAATTGCCAAGATAGGCAGGAAAGGACAAGATAAAGTATAGAAGAGAATGTGCCAAGGTAGGCGGAAGAAGAAAGAAGAAGAAGATGTATAGGAACCTCACCTAAGACTAGTTGAAGAAGGTAAAGGTTCAGCTAGGATTTCCAGGAGTCGCCACCTCCTACACTCATCATAATGAGCCCTTCCAGAGTTTCTTTTATCGAGGTTGACTCCTCTAGATCCGTAATGTTCAGTAAGAGACAGGCCGACCTCGAGTAGGGTGTGCTACGATCGAGCACGCATTACGATCTTGCTAGTGCAGAGGCTTTGTTTTGCGCATGACACTAGCCTGGGAACAAACCCTCCGGCCCGAAGATAGTAGACCTACTCAAACTAGTAGCTTCTGGAGTTCTCAATGTTAGACGAGCATTTCTTCACATAAAACCGAATAGCCATTCACGACCGGCCTTCTCCTCATCATTCCATTTTTCAGGGATTTTGAAATTTGAAGCCTCAGCATATTTATAGGCCAATTTTCTGGTGTTAGTTGGAGTCAATCCATAATGTATTTTTGAACACCTCTGTAAATATTTGGCCATCATATTCTCTTGCTCTGAAGTAAAGATTTGACGAATTATTATATTCGGTTTGAATTCGAATGTCTCGCCATCTGCAAGGGACTTTGTACGTACAACATGCCTTTGCAGTGCAGAGTAAGAAAGTAATTTATAGAAACTTCTCGTATAGAAGAACCGCTTTTCACCTCTTCCACAGCAGCTTTTATTTCGCCCGAACTCTTTCTTGCGCGTTCGGTTTTTCTTCTCCATATTCGAGGCATCTCTGTAGAAAAATAGATTTATTAAATGGGTCAGACCCAATCCTCCTATTGGCTATTGACCCATTCCTCCCACACATACACTCAAATATGTAAACACGTTTCATCGAACTTCGATATAATATCACAGCATCTCATTGCAGCATCGACTAGTCCAGAATACATGCTTTCCATAAAAAAATATATTCAGGAATAATGATCAACATTTAGTAGTTATATAAATCGTACATAATCAGAAAAAACATACTTACTTTTGCCATCTTGAAACGTATTTTTATGCACTTTACAATCAACGCCATTTTTATCGCGATCACATTCACGAGATAGCTTCCCCACACTTACTGCCAAACAAATCAAACTTATTTTCTGTTATATAGATCTGCTGCATTAATCCTTGCAGCAGCATCTTTGGCAGGATAGGAAACTTTGGTTTGAGAAAAATACTGGTGGGAAATATTGACCAATATACCTCCCTACTTATCGAGATCATTTTGGCTGATTGGAAATTTGAGAATCTCCCGCTTTGAACCACTCGGAATCTCACAGTTATCTGTTGGATAAATTTGACCAAACCTCCCTACTTATCGAGATCATTTTGGCTGATTGGAAATTTGAGAATCTCCCGCTTTGAACCACTCGGCATCTCACAGTCAGCTGTTGGATAAATCTGACCAACAACTTGGTCATACGAAAAATAGCACACGTCAGGTTCTGTAGGAAAAGCATAAATGTATCCTGAAGATTTCTTGGTATGATGGCTGCCCTTCGTCCCTCGCCCATCTCCCATTTTTTCTAAGATTCTCCTCCATGCTTCTTTCAGAGGTCGAAAGAAAGCGACATCAAGTGGCTGAGTCATGTGGAGTTTGTTGGCAGGAAAATGAAGGAAATATTATGTTGCTGGCACTCATCTACAGTCTTAGAAGAAAAATGACTTGAGAGGTTATAACCTATGACAATTTTTTTCCCAGGCAAATTTTTTAAAGCTGAAGTTGTCACTTTGGTAACCCAATCGCCAAAGCTTATGGCATCGAACCAGCCGCTAGCACTTCGATTATATCTGGCACCCTTCACTCCGCCAACTGTCCATGAGTCCATGATTCGTAAATGTTCTGTGTCTGTGCCTTTTGAACAATTTATGGGGGTAGAACTTTGCCATCAGCAGTTGCTGCAAACATAACGGACGTGCAGCTTTTGGAAGAGTTGCATACTCTTTCGGAATAGCGACTTCCTCGCTTTGTAATAATTCGTTTCCTCTCAGGATCATCCGAATTGGTTTCGTCGAAGTTGACGATATTTGATGGTGGTATACCATCCAGCTCCTCAGTTAAGTGGTCGAAATAGGAATTTAGAGTCTCTGATGAAACTGCTGCTCTAGGCCTTTTGATGTTTTGACAAAGGCGTGTTCGTATTTGTGGCTCATGTCGTTTAAGGAAACAATGTACAAAATCTTTCCCTGGCAAATTATTTTTGGATTTAGTTACATTTTTTCCCGGATAGCCGCAATCAGAACACGTTATCAGCTGTTTGAATATGATTTTTTCTTCTTGTTCTGTTAATGCAGTTTGTCCTCCTGGTTTTTTATGTTCATATTTTTGTGATGTCTATAGAGAACCGAATAGTTGATGTCATGTACAATACTAGCTCTCCTAATGACATTCCATGTCTTATATCATTTAGGGCCCGTTCCAGAGATTCCTTGTTTGTTTTTTTTTGTAGAATTTTGACCTTGGATCGTGTTTATAGTCTCGTGGCATTGTTGTTCTGCAATTGAAATAAAAACATCGCTGATAAATCCTGATTGAGTAGAGGAACTATGAGAATTGACAAAGAGAGTAAGTGAATTTGAACAGTGGGTGGAAAGGAACACCGGGTGAAAAGAAACAGCAGGTGGAAAGAAACAGCTGGTCAATGAAAACAACAGGTGAATGGAAACACAAGAAGTGAGGTTAGTTATCTACGGAAAATATTTTATTGAAACTACTGAATATATTAGAATTTCTCATGCAATTACGTTAATGGGATATATTAATCTATGTCTGGACCAACTGGCTAGCTTGTTTCTTGTTTTTTTCTCACCTTCTAGGTCGATCGGAACCAACTGGTTAGCTTGTTACTAGTTTTTTTTCCTTACCTTAGCCCATAAAGTTTATACAGCGATACACACGTTGTACGAACATAATGTTCAACTAAAACGGTTTAATAATATTGCCGATTGTAAATCAGTGAAAATCACTGATCTCGTATTGTCAGATATGCAATGAGTAAACCACATAAGGGTTGAAGCTTTCTGTATTGAATATTATAGATTCACGATTTCTTTTACGAATATAACATTTTTGTTTCTATTCGCCCCCCAGTTTCTATTCACCCCATTTTACGGTACTGTTATTGGGTATCAAAGATAGCATGTTTTAACATCTGTTGGCAAAATCACACCTTCGAAAGTTATAAGGATTGTTCTAGTGGGTATACATATTCCACATCATTGTTTTCTGTTCATACGTTTAATTTCCAAGATTTTGAATGGGCTTTGGCCATATATCTACTATTTCTATATATGGCGCATCGCCTATACGATATCTCAACAAAAATGGGATCAAAATGAGAGATACTTTTTGAATCTATAAGGACGGAAAGTGAAGGATGCAAACAGTCATATTGGTTTGACAAGTTTCGTATTATTTTTCCCTACGTCGGCATCAACGCCTATTGTTCGATTTCGTTACCTATAGTGACAGAAGTTGGTCCCGCTTTGAGGAGAGCTATGCTTCATATATGAGTAGAATCAGTAGAATTCTATTCCTAATTTGTTAATTCCCTTAATTTTTATTGCATTTAGATCTTTTATTTTCAAATGATTATATTTTCCTATATGGTTGCCTGATTGTTCAGTTTCTTCAATCATAACCAAGAATGGTCCAATGGCATTAGCATGATAGTACAGGTTTTCTGGCACTTTCCTTTTTTCTTGTTGGTTTTCTGCCTCTGGGTTTTTTTCCGATCCTGTTCCAACTATTATATTTCTGACAGAGTTTGGCGATAATATTGTCATATCAATGTCAGGGTCCGGAGGATCAGGGGTAGGGAGGAGCCCCCCTGTGTCGGCAGACATTATTCATCAATTGCGATGAATCTTATATGATTGCTACTACTCTTATCAGTGATCTGAATAGATTGAACTCACCAGTAATTTAGGAAGGAAGTGTCGGTTTGAACAGAGGTTCGGTTGATTAGTATAACACCCGTTTGTCGAATTGAGCGGCTCTCAAAAGACCACTTATTACCCAGCTAACCAAATGACGACAAAAATACGTCATTAACACGTCATCAGGTCACCAGACTGACGTCAGAAACTGACGTATTCGCGACGTCTCATTCACGTGGAAGTCACAGCCCCACGACGTCAGGAGCTGACGTCTATTATCTGTCATTCGCTGACTTCTTGACAACGTCATATTGACGTATATTTCACGTCATATTGACGCATATGTCACGTCAAAATAAAGCATATTCACGTCATACTGACGTATTTTTCACGTCATATTTCTGATGATTTCAGGGGCTCCTGCTGTCAAATTTGAATTATTGGAATCGAAAACATACACTTCAAAAGTTACTTATGCCGATTAACATTTTGATTTTGAATCAGGCTGTGTTATCAAAATTGAAATAAAAAACATAAATTACATCAATATTAATTTAATAAAATGCCTAAGAAGATACAGGTACACTTATCGGTGGCTAGGTATAACAAATTATATGGTATAACTATGAATACAGGGGAAATTCTGGTCTGTATAGCCTATAACAAAACTGCACTCTTGTATTCAAGCCTCGATTCGAGCTTTGCATTATAATTTGAGGTTTTAAGCTGTCAGTGAGCATAAGGTAGGTATAGAATAAAATATAGAAACATTCACAATATGTAAAATCAACCAAGAAACTGGAAGAAATAGTGAACTTTATTAATGACTACACAACTACAAGATGAATTATACACTTTTCTCTAAATAGACATTAGTCTGAAACTGAATACATGAAAATAATCAAACTATTCTGGTAAGTTGAATACTAAATCTCATCAGATACTGTATATGAATGCAGTAAGGGAAATGATACAAAAAAATCTGTATTCTCCATAGGAAATACCAAACATTTTGATTGAAATTGATTCATAGGCCAACACTGCGAAGCAGAAAGTTTACTAATAATATATATATATTCATCTTTTTTGAATCAAAAGGATATTTGTATAAAGCATCGTGAGTTTCAAAAGTTTTTCTAATGAAAAAAACATCATAATTTTTTTTCAGAATATTGTGGATTTGTACAACGAAATTATTATTAGTTAAATAATAAGAATCTGAATTGAACAGAGAATGAATTGTCATTGAATGTAATTTTTTTATATTCCTTTTAATCCCTATCGAAATGTAAACGAAGATCTGAAAAGTGCTCATAAAAACACTTCATTTCATCTATCTGTGAATTGATTTTCAAATTGCCATTAGATTCAATTGATCGACAGTAAACTTGTTGCCCCAAAAAATTTTCAGAAGGGAATGCTGAAAAAGGATCTAATGTGCCATACTTCTTAGAGTCTTCAGTTAAATGGGACAAAATATGAACATTATATACCAGAAATTGTGTCCCATATATTTTCTTGGAATGTGTTACAAAATTCAACAATAATTCATCAACCAGTTTATGTCCATATTTTTTTGTTGAGAATGAAGAGCAAAGAATAAATATTTCAGTATGTAACAATAGAAAAATTCCAATATCTATATTTCTCGAAACAAAGGGCCCTAGATATAGTAAGAAAGTGCGTAGTTCTGTGGCCTTCCAGCGAGCCAATTCAGAAAGGCTTCTTGGTCTTCTATTGATTTCTTTGACAAAGAATGGACGTAATGCCAGTAAACTCTGAGATATTGATGTAACATTTCTAGCTCTGAATCTAACATTCAAATTTCCACCAATCCAAAAGTTCATAATTTTTTTCATTACACCTAGGCATACAGCATGCATGTAGTCTATAGGAAAATCAGAAACAAGACCCATATTCAATTGTAACAAAGGTGAAATGCCAATGTGAAGATCTTCATCTGTTTGTGAAATGAAAGATTCATTTGTTCTTTTTTCTGCTCAGCAAGAATTGAGAATAACTCTCCCATTAACATAACTACCATGTTCAACACACTTTTCACATGAAAAATAACCTGAATGAGATTTTATGCAATTAACAAATGCTCTGGCTGGAGCATCACATATGAAATTGTATATTTTCACCATATAAACTACTCCATTGAATTTTATACCATGTTGCATTAAATGTGTCCTTTCTCTAATAAATTCTTGTAGAAATGAGTGAAGAGGTTCTGGTTTAGATGTTCCACAAAATATTCC